AAGTACTCATCCACATTGTTAGGGATTCTTCTGGTAGTTGGTGATGACACAACTTGGATGCGTATGGCATCGATGCGAAACAGACCTTGGATGGTCTGTCCCATGTCGCTCTTGGGGTCGATGTTGTAAGGTCTTTTCGCAGTTCTCTCGAAGCTCTTCTCCACATAGTCAACAACAGGGTCCCATTGAGAGAGATCCTCAGTTGGTTGTTGCACTGGTAGAGCTTCAAAAGGAGAACTGAGGCATACACAAAAGCGATGTGGTTGTCGCCGATGTAGTTCCTCATAGAGCGCTGCTAGAATGGCGCTGCAAAGCTCTTCTGGATATGCCTGAGAAGGTTTGGTCATAGATCCTTGAATGGGGACGCACATGTCCAGCTCTTCCTTGGTCATAGTGCGCTGGAGGGCCTGCTCAAGGCCAGGAAGGTTGCCCAGGAAGGTGAATGGTTTTCGTATTGGTTTGCCTTGGACCTGTGCATGAAAAGCTCCGGCTAGGCAAGTGACTTTCCAAACACCTGGAAGGCGTCCAAGGTCTTTGATCTCAGGCTGTTCCCAAAGTTCACTGTTTTGAGAGTTCTGAATCAAAAAGAAACGGTGTCCAGCATGCTGTTGTTTTGCAAGTGAGGCTGCCAACTTCAAAAGAGGATGTTGAAGTGATTGAAGCCACTCCCAGTCCTCCAGACGATGGCTGCAGTCCAGGCCCATCAAGATCAAAGCTGGTCTGAACTTGTGAAGGACTGCATGGGCTTCGGTCTGCAAAGAACGCTTCATCAAGTCTTGGCCATAGATTAAGTCCCATGGTTGAAGAGCATTCATGTAGTACTCATTGGCCAAGTAAGAACATTGTGCTTCACCTGCAAACAGCTCCCACAAATCTGCTTTGCGGATTCGATTCAGCCTGTCATGGGCCGCATGGTATACATCATGTTCTTTCTGCAACAGCTTTGAAGATCTTAGCCATTGACCTCGAAGCTGCTTCATAGTTCCTGTCTTCATGACCACACCTCCGGCTCCACACTGTCCCAGTCGTAGATTGGGTCGTCCGGATTGGTCAACACGCCCAGCTCCATCAGGCGGGTCCAACGAGCTTCGTCGGCTGTCCTTTCCAAGGCCTCTCTGGCCTCTCTGAAGGTCTCCTCGTTGTGGAAGATGTGCTCCGCCATGGTGTTGTGAGGGCCATCCAAGGGACTGTCCTGATGGACAATCTGCCACACCTCGTAGCGCTGGTCCTCCGTCAAATGGTCCAAAGCCATCACCGTAGGGTCGAAGGTTGTCCAGCTCTCTGACTGCCTCGGCCTTATAGTTGGTGGAGAACGCCGCTCTGGTTGGGGACGAATCTTGGCCGTGGCTCGGGACTTGGACTTGGGTGCTCCCAACGAAGTGGCTATGGTTGCCGAACATGGTGGAGGCAATGGTTGCGAGCGCGAGGAAGACGCGCGCTGGCCATGTTGAACCCACAGTTCCTCTGTTGGATTCCACTTCCACTTGGTCTCGCAGGTCAGGCATTGTGCATACCGACCGTGTGGGTTGCCGTACCTTCGGCACTGAAGATGCTCGCATGTTGTTGTCGATGGTCGCACATGGATTTCCGGAGGAAACACCTGGAGTGCTGAGCGAGGCATGATGCCGAGGTTGACCAACTGCAAGATGGTGCGAAGCGCCATCATCATGAGGTTCTTGAGGCGGCTCACCACACGCTGCCATGAGACCAACCATGGAGGAGGTGCCTGGTGCATGTCGATCAAATTGATCCGCGAAAGTCGCTTGAGAAGTCGCGGGCTCCATGCAAGACATAAACTCAGGATTTGGGTCGTGCCACATGGACTCATCTGCCAATGATTGCCAAACAGGATCATGTGCAGGTTGTTCATGAATGAAATCAAGGATGTTAATGACCATGTGACCGGCAAAACGCTGAACTTCAACTGAAACTCCTAAAACGTCAAACTCCATGCGATCATTCTTGAAGTGCAGATGGGCCCCTAAACTTGTAAATAATGAATTGGATCCAAGGAAAGGAATGTCTTCTTCCAACAAAGCTGCTCCTAACAAAAACGATGTTCCAGAAATAGCTGATGGAAGATACACTCTTGTGGTTGAAGTTGATGGTGCACCCTTTCCAAACTTGAAACTTTCACTGATGGGGATCCGAACTGCCTGAAGACCACGTTCGTGGAGTAGTTGCTCGTGGGCTGCAAACCAAGCCTTGCCACAGCAAGTTCTTTGACATCCAGAGTCCAAAACAATGAGGCCGGCAAAGGTCTCTGATCCAACAAACTTGACTTCATTGACCACATATGGGATACCAGGGGATGGAACCAAAACCATGTTGACGTCAAATGACTGGCCGTAGGAAGGGTTGTCATACACATCGACAACGCCATGCTCATGGTGGATGAAGTTGACACTGTGGGGCTTCTTGAAGGCTGGCTGCGGGCCCTTTTTCTCGATCGGCTTTGGCGACGAAGAGGATCCTTTGCCCTTGTTCATCGGACATTCTTGGTCTTTGTACCAATGTCCACGAGCTCCACAAGCAGTGCAGTGAGTGACCTTCTTGGACTCCTCAGGAGTCAGTCTGGTCGAGCCACCTTTGCCCTTGGAGTTGCCCTTCTGCTTTGCAGTAAGGAACTTTCGACCAAGGGTCAAGTTGTTCAACTTCTTTGCCGTCACAGTCAAGACGGATGCCAGCTCTTGAAGGTCATTCGCGCCTTCATCGTCATCTTCAAATCCATCATCTTCGTCACAATCATCTTGATCGTCATTGGGCTCATTCTGATCATCTTCGAATTCTTCCTCAATGGTGTCGAGGAACTCATCATCTTCTTGTTGATCATCTCCAGCATCGTGAGCTGCAACGAAGGCTCTACGTGTTGGAGCTCCACGCACGCTGGAAACAGAGCTCTGCCGAGAGGAGGCAGTAGAGGAGGTCGATGAGGATGGCATACTGGATGGTGAAGTGCTACCCATAGACTTGTTCTTGCCTTTTCCCTGACCATCTTTTCCACCAGAAATTGGAGGAGCGCCACGAAACTCTGGAAACTGCAATGTCAGTGCTTCAGCCACAGATTCAAACAGCAAAGACTGTGATGTTGCAACCAAAATCATACGCTGCTGCTCATGTGTCAAGCCACTGCGATCCAAGAGTCGTGAACCCATGCTCTCATTGTCATAGGCTGCCTCAATGTTGATGCCGACTGAACGCAAACTGCGCTGCACTCGGCGAAACCGATTCACAAAGGAGCGCATAGTCTCTCCTTGGTATCGTCGGATGTGCTCAAAGTCATTGAGGTAGCGACGTTTCTGATAGATGGCCTTCTGCTCCATTGGTGCCTTCAAGGCTTCCAGAATCACCTGAACACCATCGTCAGTGTAAATCTCACTGACAGGGGTGTGCTCAAGCTCTTGCTCAGCCTCGCCCTGCAACGCATTGTACAAGCTGAGTGCTGCTTCACGCTTGCTCAGGTAAGGTGCAACCTGTAGCATCCAGATTTCAACCTTCTTGCAGAACTTATTGTATGCACGCAAGTCTGTAGCATCATATTTCCACTGAGGCGGGGACGGTGCAGTGCCGCCGCGCCAACGGATGCCCTTAGAGGGACCTTTTCTGTCATCCCAAGGCTCATCATTGTCATCCTTGTTCAAGACTTCCTTCAACTTCTTGATGGTGGAGTCGTCATCAGCAGATGATGAGATCTTGCGGGCATGTCGTTGATTGGTCACAGTCGTTGGTGATATCCTTGCAACTCGGTCAACTGATCCATGGTCGCCAGAATGCCATGATGGGATCACAGACGGATCTTCCGTTGGAGTCTCTTCCTCACCGTGCTCACTCCAAGCATCACCGCCCGGTCCAGGTCCAGAGTCTCCATGCTTTCGTCGTCGTCGTCGTCGACGGTTGGCAGAGGTGGACGCTTGATGACCGTCAGGTGGAGGAGGAACATGGGAACCATATGGCATGTATGTCCAAACACCATCAGCTGTTTCACGTGTTGCAGGATTATTCGTCTGATAAAACTGGTTTGACCCACATTGATTGCAAACCCAACTGTTGCTCAACCAAGCATAAGCCGCTGAATCACAAACCAAGCAACGCCACTGAACAGAATTCGTTGGTGAATCTGACAAGGTATCGTCCTGGATCGAGTCATGTTCAACGTCGAAATGCCAAGGAGCATGATCTGACTGATCAACGACCAGGTCGCCGTTGTCGTCGAAGAACATGACAACGCAAGCTCCGGTGCCAGCTAATCGAAGTCAGATGAAACACACAAAGTGCAATGGCAAATGCACGGACTCAATGCTGCAATGTTTCACCCATCCATCGGTCACAATGCGAAAAGGTAACAACGCTCTCAGGGCCCCTTAAGCCAAGCCACAAGGTGCAAACGGTATCAGCTGGTTGACATGGATTGCATGACATTTTCAATAATATATATATATATACCCTGCCCTTCCAAACTGAAAAAAATCCAGGCGTGAGGGGCAAACACGGGTTTTACCGGGTAAAACCGGGTTTTTGCCCTTTTCACTGCAGATTGTAGCTGGCTGTTGTTCTAGAAGATCCACGAGGTATGTTGAAGTAGTAGGCTGATATGTTCGGCTCTTTCGACGGGACTGCCCGATCTTAATGGTCCGACTTCTCCGCGCATCCATGCCTTTTTTTGAACCGGAGTCTACAAAAAAAACACGAAAAGAGATTGCTTCAAACAGCACCCATGCTTGTCAAGTCAAATGAGCAGAGCCTTATATAATGTCAAATTCATTTGGATCTCTTCACATCCGCAAGAAATGGGGTAAATCATGGGTAAATCTAGGGTTTTGGCCAAAAACCAGATTTTCATTTTCCGGGGTAACACCGGGTTTTACCTTCCATTGCCCGTCAAAACCGAGGTTTACTCACAAACCCGAGAAATTTCCAGGGTTTGGAGGTATAGGGTAGTTTATTAGAGGGAATCCCCCTTTCACTAGTTAACCAGCTGCCACTGTTGTTGTCGGAAGGTCCTTCAGCTTCCCAACCTCTTTTGCAGTTGGAATGCTCTTGAGGTATGCGTCTGGCGCTGGCAGCTGGTGCACTGGCTGAGACGGAAGTTCCTGCCAGGGGAATGGTCTCAAGTGGTCTCAAGCAATCTACAAATAGGGTATGTTGGCATCCATGGCATCCATGAACAAGAATCTTGAACATTTACCAGTTAGCCAGATCCGAAGCATGGTGAAACCTGAAAGCAAATCGTGTGAAAGTCATAGCAGGGGGAGATACACCTCACGACACAAGGACAGAAGACACACATCAGTACAAAGGTAAAGACCAGACTTTCATAGAAGAGCAGGACTGTAACGTCCGGACGCTGAAACCTTTCTGGTTGGTAGTTTCGACCCAATCCAACCAATGTCAGTCAGGTTGCACCGCCAAACATCTTCGAACAACCTTCAGCTTCTGGTTCTTTAACATCCTTTTGATAATCATGAGAAATCATGATACATCCATTGGTCCATGAGATATCTATATATATATAGTACAATAGTACAAATCAATACAGTTCATATCAGTTCATTCATGTTTTTTCATGTTTTTAAAATGTCATCATTTTTGCCAATCTCTCCAAGTCCTCCTTCTGTGGTTTCACCACCACCGCGGGTGGTTCCGCCCGCTTGGCCGAGGCCGTGGCCGCCATCAGCGGCGTGGGCAGCGGCAGCCGTGGCGCTGCCGACTTCTCAGGGTCCTTCGGGTCCTTCGCCTTCGGCCTGGGATGGGTTCGGAGTGGTCCGGGGTAGGTGGCGTTTTTTTAAGCATATAAATATATATATATAACTTTATAGCACCCATATTTCCTCCAAAAAACAAGTGGGGATATTCCATGTATATCCGGGAGTATCACCCATTTACCCATTTACGAAATGGGTGTTTGTTTATCTATTTCATAGATTTAGTCATTGGGACCATAATCATGAATCATCATGAGGCATTTCCGAAAACAACTGGATTCAGATTTACCATCTGCTCATCAAACATGCCTTTCTGGGAAAGAAAAAAACTCATTCAGTTGGATTTTTCCTGATTCTTCCCATTTATATACACATTTAGTTCGAGGATTTCCCAGCCAGCCAATACCAGCCATGTTTGATCCCCCATTTGCGACCAGGGTGGGATGGATTGCTACCCGTAGGAAGAGAAGCCATATTAGTTTCATATTGGCGGACAATAAATGAACTAACTGACTAACTAACTAACTAACTAACTAAGTAACTAGATATAACTAGATATAACTAAATGACTAAATAATGACTAGACAATGACTAAATGGGCCTTGTCTCCTCTTGGGAATCTCGAGAATCTCTTCGTTCCGGCTGGCTCTCCAAGGCAGATTCCTGACACGGACATGGGATCATCCCATGAACCGAGCTGAAGCTGCCATGGCCACCCAACAAGTAACAAAAAAACGACCCGGGAAGAATTCTAACTATTCTAGCTATTCTAACTATTCTAACTATTCTAACTATTCTAACTGCAAAAAGAACGAATGCCAACGAAGTAGACCTCTTCATGTCTTGAGGCCGGTTTCATTCAGAACCTTGAGAAAATGTGCTCGAAGAAAGAAAGAGAAACGACATGAAACGAATATCGAATCTCTTTATGGGAGAGTGACGTCAGCTTGCATGCCCCCAGATGTGACAACCTGTGACAACCCTGATGCCAAGAATATTTTGATATGTCTTGATTGCATGTTCAGAAAACCCGTAGAGTAGCAGCAACAAACGACTGCTGTCCTCTTTGGCCACCGGCATGGCTTCGTCTGTCATGTCTGTCTGTTCGAGTGACCTGAGCGGCCGCAAGGTCCAGAGACGTCTATATATTGATGTCTGAGACAGGGGCATGAGGCGATATGGGTCACGTGTCAAAATGTCCCATCCCGAAAATTATATAGATGGTGTGGCTATTTACGGTACCAAGTTTCTGATCCCTCTGTACCCCAATTTCTCATTTTAGAACTGGTGCAGTATAGCTTCCATCCCAACCTATCCCACAAATTCAGCTCAGCCACCCCTCATCTCGGATCTCATCTAACTCCTCAGGAGCTGTAGTACCTTCCACATCTTCGTCCTGGTCCTTCTGAGGCTCAATATCAGCTTCCATGGCGTTTGGCTCAGCCTGAGAAGCCTTGGGCGTAGCCTTGGGCGTCATCAGGGGGGAGTGTGGCATGTGATCCTCTTCTTGGACGGAAGGCAAGGGCTCGGTAATAGTTCGATCCAGGACGGGTGCTGTGTCCGCATGAACCATTGGCTCCTCATTTAGCTCACTTGGTTCAGCTTCGGCTCTGCTGGGGCGAGTGATGCCCCCTCGAGTTCTCAAGGCATTCCCCAACGACTTTCTGCCTGATGGATAGCCCTCGGGACCTTGGCACTGGAAGAGTGGAACGCTCATGTCTTCGAAGGTGGTCACTCTTCTTCTGATACCAACCATAATCTTCAATATATGCGCATCAATGACAACAACTATACAAACAAGTGCAACAAATCAGAAAGTCGTTCATGAAACGCAGCATCAGTTCATGATACTGTTGGAAGAAATTTTGACACCAGTTGGTAACTCTTAGGTAACTATAATATGTAACTATGAAACACTTATGATGGGATTTTTTTCCGATCTACCAACTGCTGCAGGATTTCGCAACCCTCCACGGTGCCAAGTGTCGGGGTTCTGGAGCGCTCCTTCGAGGCGACATGAGGAGACCTTCGGCCTGCACCTGCGACGCCGGTGGAACTGGTTGTTCGGTTGTTCCCCTCTTTTTTCTGATCACGATATTGTCATCTTTATAGATCTAACTTGTGAATAATAGATATTTTTATAGATCATCATAGATATTGTCATTTTTATAGATTCATCATATCAATGGGATATATATATATATATAGTAGGTACCTCCAATTTAGGTACCTGAAATGGCCATTCATCATAGATTCATTCTGGTTTTGACATAACTTGTGAATCAGAATGAATCTACATCATGAATCTGTAATGAATTTATCATTGGTTGAAATGCCAAATTCACCAAAATTACAAGAAAGTGAGGATCTGGATAAGCCAGTACGGTGTGCTTGTGTCATGTGTGGCGGACACCCAAAAAAAAAAAAAACATGGACTTTCAACAGGAACGGTGATTTGCTGGCATTTTACAAGACTATGGGGAGAAAACCATTGGTCCATGTTCGCAGCCCGGAACCATTGCTCTGATTCGAGTATCTTCCGGCTCTGAACATACCGGATTTAACGTGATGAACCGGTGTATCTCTGGTGGCGTTAACCTGCAATGTCCACATGCATGTGTAAATACATATGGGTATATTATGCATTATAGTGTCACAGTGTCACACCGACCTGGATAATTAATTACATTTAATTGCCTGATTATATGATATTATATGTAGGAAAAAAGTCTACCATGTTCATACTACAGGGATTTGACAAAGTCATGCCTAAGTCACTCCTTTCGCTTTCCCCGCTTGTGAACGCAACATCAAGAAGTCATGCCTAAGTCATGCCTTTCGGTCTTCCCCCATTGTGAACGCAAGCGTCAAAATAACCCTTTCCAAATCAGAACCTTTCACTTTCACCCTTTTTTCTCTTCCCTGTGCTTGCGATTCACTGTTTCTTCTTTGCCCACTTTCTTCCCCAAACAGGTTTATCTGTATGGGGTTCTCTGGGTAGCTATGGCCCCCTTACACAGAAAGAGGCCAAGGCAGTTTGTAAGTTCTTACGCCTTTGAAAGGGTTGCAGTCCTGGGTCACATTATTTTGCTTCTGTCTCCGGGCTTGCATTCCTGGCATGCTCTCCGACTACGGTCTGGGTGCTCTGGGCCGCCTGGTTATACAATGTTATACACTTGTCTCCCACTTGTCTCCACTTGTGTCCCACTTGTCTCCTACTCACCTGCATTTCGCATGATGTGCCTGGTGTGCCTCAACAGCACCCACCCAGCAGCACTGGACAGGCAGAGACAAGAAACAACGACCAAGCAAAGAGGGAGACCAGCTGCAGCAAACATCCACCAGCAGCACCTGCCCAAAGAAGAGAGCAAGAGGAAGGCAAGAGCACCAACCAAAGATTCCAAAGAGCAACCAAAGAAGGGCAGGGAAGGGGAAAGGACCAGGAAATCTAAGCCTGGAAAAACGAGATCAAAAACGAGATCAAAACGAGATGCAAACGAGATCCGAGCCCTGGCAGCAGCAAACTCCCGGAAAGTAAAATCGGAAGGTTGAATCACATGAAGGAGAAGCCTACGTGGCATCACGCATTGACCCAGCACAAGCAGGCAGAACCCAGCAGGCAGCAGCAGGCAGCAGCAGGCAGCAGCAGGCAGAACGTAGCAACAAGCACGCAGAACCCAGCGCAAGCGGGCAGAACCGAGCACAAGCAGGCAGATTCCAGCAGGCACAGATTCCAACAGGAGGGGACAGAACCATACAGAACTTAAATATGATAAGTTTCAATGGGCACGCCTCTCACGGAACTATTGACAATGACACCACCATACAGATTGCAATCAATACCATACAGGGTTATAAAGTAGAATCATGTCAAGAATACACTGCCCACAGCGATGAAACAGTATTCAAATCAACAGCCAGTCAAATAAAGAAAAGAACTATCAAAATCTAAACGAAACACTGCGCGCACGCAGGTGTGATACGACTTCAGGTCACTTGGTACGACGTAAGCTTAGCGGTAGGTAGTAGTTCAGAAGCAATCCAGCAGCAGTTTGGCAGTAGCCAGCGGCAGCAACTGAGCAACAGCCAGCAATTGAGCAGCAGTTTAACAGTAGTTGCTGAATACAGTTGAACGTGCAGAAGTCACTGATAAGAAAGCAGCTGCAACAAAAAAAGTTTCCCCCCAACTGAACGCAGCAAAAACTACATATACCCTAAGCATAACTAGATACCTAAACCCAAGCTGAACGCAAGAAAAAACACAAAAACACTTAAAAACATGGTTGCGCTGTGATCACCAGAGTTTGCTTGCGTTTTGCCAAAAGGCACGACTTCCAGGGAAAGCTTCGACGCAACTAAATATAGACATTTCTTTAAAAAAGGAACGACTTTGTCGATTGCCTGTACATGATGTAATGTATAATCCTGGCCTAACCTTTTTCAACTCACAGCTCCTGACATTTCCAAAAAATGCAGGGAACATCTCGATGTGAATGCATCACAGCGCTTCAAACCTGAGAATAACTCTCGTGTTCTTTTGTTGTTCCTCCATCACAGGGCTCCAGTCAAGTCCACTCAACTTCATCCTTCACCATGTGAAGTATATGTACCTTTCGCGCAAACTCAAAAATTTGAAGACCTCATCAGCTGTGCCGGTCCACCATTCACCCCCGCTTTTCTGCGATGGCCTCTGCCTCTCCTGCACCCAAGGTGCTGGCACGCATGCGATCAATGGCACCCTGGATGGCTCGGGACCCTAAAGCGTTGAGGTTCAGCCAGTCCAGGGTGCTGTTCTCCGGAGCTGCCTCATTATCCTGGAGGGAAGGCAAATCCCAAGAACTCATCTTGTCATGATTTGGTGTAGAAAAATTAAGCCAAAGTGCAACTGGGTTGCGTGCTACCATCAATGGCCGCATTAAATTAAAATGCTCATTTCTACATGAAATTCGAACACTGAATGCATCTACTTCCTCCAGCTTGACGTTTCATACCAATGATCTGCAATTGAGCCTCTTAGTCACGTACAATAGTCCAGCTTTTGGATGTGCAGTTCTTCCGTTTTCAAAATATTCCGAGGACTAGTGCCATACTTTAAGCTCCTGGGGCATTCTGAACATGGAGCTCCCAGCAATATAATAGTATCACTTCTGCTGTCTCATGGACATGGCTCCTCTAGTAGAACCAGCATGATTTTTTCTGGTTCTTGGCTTCTTCAAGCCCTAGAAAGTTTTTTTGAGATGTCGTGAGTATAGAACAGTGATAGGAACAACATGAGCAATGAAATGCATATATATTGCATAATGTCCTAGTCCTAATTCCTAATGTTCATATATTTCATACCCTCCGCTCCGGTAATCAAAGGCCCAGCCATGTTTGACGGCCTCGATGTCCGTCGGGGCTGTGGGCTTGATTGTCAGGCCTCCCCGTGACCTGGCGATGGGGAAACCTGGTGTATTGATTCGGTAAAAGCGATGGTTTCTGGTGACTTTGAATTCAAACAAATCCATTGAATGATGTGTCAAGATTGGAAATCAATGGAAATAACATATGAGCTATCATATATTGATGATTAGTAAGTCTTAATAGGTCCATTTAAGAAAAATTACGCCTTGGATCGCCTTGGAATTTGGACAAAAGCATGGGAACGGATCAGCCTTCAAACTTGTACAGACGTACAAGCGAGGTATAGCGAGGTCACGAGTCACGTGATGGTTTTGAATGCTTAGATCCGTTCCCCTTCTTCAAAATCTTCAAACAGCCATGACCATCCATAACCTCCAAAAGGCAGCTAAACCCCTTTGCATCTCGTCGTGGCCACGTTTGCCAAGTAAAAGCTACCTATGAGTCCAACGTGAAACACCCCAGGCTGCCGGTCTGGGTGCCCAAACCTCATCGCTTCCCGTAAGGGATTCTCTGTGCCCCCCACGGAGCGACGTGGTCGTCTTCCCAACCAAGCCATGGCGATGACTTTCAGCTGAAGGGAGACAGACCACTTGGAATTCGATGCCTGCTGGATATCACCTAGCTTCCTCACGGGCCTGCTGGAAATCATGGATCACATGGTTTCAAACTATTGAGCTGGAAAAAAAACTTTATCGAAGCAAAATGACACTCGTGTAGCAACTGATCGAAAAAAACTGATGGCAAAAGCTGCCCCGGGTGCGGCTGCTTCTACTCCACACCTCGGTGCTTGAGCAAAATCAGGCTACGTCAATGCACCCTTCACCTGCCTGCCTGTGGGTGGCTGCCCCAACTTCTAACAAACGCACACAAACTTGGAAGATCTTGGAAGCATCCTAGGAAAACACAGGGAAACTCTGCTATCACAAGTCGATTTTGTCTTCGAGCCCCTTCACCAAGTTGCTCCATCACAGCCCCTGGAGCCTGAGGGAACAGTCCTTGTGGCCACAGATGTGGCCTCAAAGCATTAGACTATTGCACTATCAACTGCCATTGCCATCAATTCGCGCCATTTCATCATGTTGCCAACCCAACCCAGCAAAAGATGTATGTATAGCCTATTACCCCAGATCCATTGCCTACTTGATTATGACTTATGACAAATGTATTTTTCAACTATATATATGTATATATATATATATGTGTATATATATATATATACACTATGACACAATGTGATACAGTAGCGTACCCCTTACAGCAACGATTTACCATGAGAACATGATAAATACACACACCGAACCAGTCGGGGATAGTGCCAGTCACATCAGCATCAACCCTCAGAGAGCCCAACGGAATGTGCCCTGTCTGCGCCATCTCTTCTTCCGTCTGCTTCACTTGGTGGCAGGTGGCGCAATTGGATCGACTGCAAAGCATTGGATCAATTGCTAATCGACGGCAGAATGAACATTGATATATGATGATATATCCTGAAATGGGGTATCCCAAATCATCCAAATGCGATCATTTTTGTATTGAAACCCATGGTTCTAAATTTTAGGGACCCCGCATATATTCAAAAAAAAACTATCCTTTTCTCGTGCAACCCCTCGTTTTCAAGGTGCAAACGCCGCTGATACCCTGAGTCACACCACGCACCAACGCGCAAGGTCGCAACCATGCATCTTGGGGTAAACACTACACCAATCACAATTCTACCCTCTGGTAATTTAACGTAGCTATTGAACATGACCATTAATAGTGGATTTTCCCATTAAAAATGGTGATTTTCCATAGCTATGTTAGTTTACCAGAGGCTACCCTATGGAATGGATTTATATATGGTGCCCGCTCGTGCACAATGGATACCAATGGATGCCACGACGTGCCAAGTTCCCACGAGCTCCTGGCCGGAACCGCTGTCGATGTGGATGCCACCGCCGCCAGGAAGCTCAAAGCTAAATCCTCCTTGGCGGCATCCCACCACGGATGCAGGATGCAGGACAACATGAATTGATATGCATTGCATATTGCGCATATGGAATCATATTCTATAATATATCATTAAATTATCACTATCAAAGGAAGTTGGGAAGCAATCTTCCGAGTTACGGATGACTTTTACCTGGTGAAGGGTGGTGGGAGACTTTTTACATCTGATGACTTTTACCTGATGAAGGCTGGTGTGAGGCTTTACATCTGGTGATTTTTGCCTGATGAAGGGTGGTGTGAGACTTGTGGCTGCAGTAGAGTTATATGCGGGTTTGCCATGTGATGCCGCAAAACGCATTGTAATGGCCGCATTGATGTTGCATGGGGCTTGTGTTGGGGAGGAAGCCGGGGCACGAAACCTTGCGTTTTTCCGTGTAAAGTGGCTGCAGGCGGCGATGAAAGGCGGCTCGAGTGTGAGGCGGTTGCGGGCACGCTCGTTCTGATGTTTTTTGGTTCTCCTTGGTGTTCTGCACTTTGGGTGTCTTCCTGTGTGTGTAGTTCCATGCGGTTGTGGAATCCCTCGTCTCAGATCGCATTGGAATGGCTGCATGAATGTTGCATGGGGCTTGTATTGGGGAGGAAGCCGGAGCATGGGGCCTTCCGTTTTTCCGTGTAAAGTGGCTGCAGGCGGCGGTGACGGGTTCCTTGTGTGTGCGGCAGGTGCGGGCTGGGCTCGGCGTAGTTCGCAGTGTATATAAGTGCTGGTTCGATGTGTTTTGCGAGTTTCTGCGCTTAGCAGCTACATGGTGCTTTGGAAGCCTTGGTTGCAAAACGCATTGTAATGGCCGCATGAATGTTGCATGGGCTTTGTGTTGGGGAGGAAGCCGGAGCATGGGGCCTTCCGTTTTTCCGTGTAAAGCGGCTGCAGCCGGCGATGAAGGGGAGCTCCTGTGTGAGGCGGTTGCGATTTTGATCGCTTCGAGGTCAGTCAGTTCTCCCTTGGTGTTCTTCAGCGTGTGGTTGTTCATGTGTGCGTAGTTCTATGCGCTTGTTGAATCCCTGGTTGCAGATCGCAGTGTAATGGCTGCATGATTGTTGTCATGTTACGCTGATACGCTGGTACGCTGATTCGCTGATAGGCTGATACGCTGTTACGCTGGTACGCTGATACGCGGATACACTGAAACGGTGTAACCGGTGCGACGGTGTAACCGGTGTAACCGTTGTATCCGGTGTAACCGGTGCAAGCAGTGTAACGGTGTAACCGGTGTAGCGCAAAATGCTGGACACTACTTGCGTCAGCAATGGTTTGAGTTTGCTTTGGCGCCAAGATCCGGTTTTGGAGCTGCAATTCCTGTTGTCATTATGTACAAGAAAGCTTCTCCGTGTAATTTTTTTTTCTGTAAAAGCTTGCTGTGTGTAAAAGATTTTGTGTAAAAGCTTGCTGTGTGTAAAAGCTTTCTGCGTGGACAAACTTGAGGTGTGTAAAGGTGTTCTGTGTCTAAAAGATTCTCTATGTAAAAGCTTGCTGTGCGTAAAAGTTTCTCTGTGTGTAAAAGCTTCTCTGTGTAAAAGCTTGTTGTGTGTAAAACCTTCTGTGTGTAAAAGCTTCTCTGTATGTAAAAGCTTCTCTGTGTAAAAGCTTGCTGTGTGTAAAAACTTCTCTGCGAAAGAACTTGCTGTGTGTAAAAACTTCTGTGTAAAAGCTTGCTGTGTGTAAAAACTTCTCTGCGAAAGAACTTGCTGTGTGTAAAAACTTCTGTGCAAAAGCTTGCTGTGTGTAAAAACTTCTCTGCGAAAGAACTTGCTGTGTGTAAAAACTTCTCTGTGTAAAAGCTTGCTGTGTGTAAAAGCTTCTCTGTGTGTAAAAGCTTCTCTGTGTAAAAGCGTCTCTGATTAAAAGAACTTGCTGTGTGTAAAACTTTCTTTCTGCTAGCTTTGTAGTACAAAGTAGTACTGGGACGTACTTTGTGCAAGTTTTGCAGTACAAAGTAGTACTGGGCAGTGCTTTGTGCGAGCTTTGTAGTACAAAGTAGTACTGGGAAGTGCTTTGTGCAAGGTTTGTAGTACAAAGTAGTACTGGGAAGTGCTCTGTGCAAGCTTTGCAGTACAAAGTAGTACTGGGAAGGGTTTGCAGTACAAAGTACTGGGAAGTGCTTTGTGCAAGCTTTGTAGTACAAAGTATTTTGTAAAGACTCTTCTGTGTAAATGCATCTGTGTCTCAAGCTTTCTGACGTGCAGAAGAGCCGAGATGAGTTGAGACTAGCTTCGGTGAGATGAGAAAGGTTGAGCTGTGCTCAGATGAAATGAAAAAAGTCAAGAAGAACTTAGCTGACATATGAGAAGCTGAGAAGACATGAAATGAGATGAGAAGAGCTCAGATGAGATTTGAGATGAAGTGCAAGTGTGAAGTGTGGAGTGCGGGGTGTGAAGTGCACTGGTCAGTGGTATCTCACCATCTCCTCGGCCCATTCGGCCCTGCCAGGCCTGCAGCATTCTCCTTGATGGTTCCACTGGTGCCAAACCTCCAAGGTGAAAACTCCATGGAAAACTCGACACATCCGGCCATACAAACTACTCACCCGGTAAGCTTCGGGCACTCCATCGGTACCATAGTAAGGTGAGTTCATGAAGGTACCAATGGTCGGGTTCCTCAGAAAGCCGAAAGAAGCAAGCCACTGGCATGCCATGAACATGTAGCATCAGTAGCATCATCCGAGAACTTGACTTGAAGAATTCATCCACTCCTCTTCCTTACAAGCTGCTTGCAGTATTCCATGACAGGCCCACTGGCTACTAGAGCAGCACCAAACATGGCAACATCTGGATCCTTGGATTTCATATCATTTGCCAACACCAGTAGTTACAGAATGAACGGCTACCTAACCAAAGCATGCCCACATGCCCATTCAGCCAGTCCTGGATCTTGCTTCTCTGCTGGATCCTTAGCTCAAGGTAATGAATGCGGGGCTGGCTCTATGCCTCCTGGGATTCGTCAGAGTTCCTGAGACCAACATACACTGCAAGTAAGTGGGCCAAATGGATATGGCTCGAAATTGGGATACCATACAACACTTTTAAGAGCCAAAATCTGCGGGTTGGGAGCCTCAACTCCCAAATATGAAGCCCCGCTGACGATTTCTTAACATTGATCAAAATTGCACATTAAGCCAGGCTGCCAATAGCAATCCCGACAACTGCTAAAAAGTCTAAAAAAATCCATAACAATTCCATGTTGAATCCGCTTAGCAGTTCCCTTTTCGCCGCCAGCAACGCCGCTCCTACCAGCGCCAGCTGTCCGCAGGCGGATGCTTTGGCATCCCCACGGGTTTGACGAACAGAACATGCGAAGCCACGTTGCCAAAGACTGCGCTGAAACTGGTGGACGGTTTCTACGGGTGGTGTTCGATATGAATGCAGCGGCTTGCGACCATAATTCTCAGGTAGCAGGTCACCAATGTCATTGTAAGGAATGAGATTAATCAAGATTAGGTCACGTTCAAATGGTGAGAGCAGATCGGCTACAGCTGCGGCATCCTCTGGTGCTGTGTTAATACCATCCAGCAGAACAATTTCACAAATGAGTTGCTGATATCGAGCCGGCCGTCGTTGAATGCATTCGACAAAAGCATCTCTCAGCTGCTCGGCCGTGTATCTTGCACTTGGTACCAGTTGTTTGCGCACAGAATCTTTGCCTGCGTGAATAGACCAAGCCAATCTACAAGGCAAATCTGAAACTTGTAAGACATGCTGAGGAGAAGGTGCTACCGTAGATACTGTGATCAACCATCGCGAAATTCCAAAGCTCTCTACGTCAGTCAAGAGTTGCAGAGCTGTGGCTACAGCCTCCATATTGTTTGCGGGCTCACCCATGCCCATAAACACCAGGTTGCGGACTCTTGGCCAACCAAGACAACGACACTGCCGTTGTGCCAACCAAACTTGTGACAAGATCTCATGAGCTGTAAGGTTGCGCAACTCGCCCATCTTCCCAGTGGCACAGAATACACAAGCTTGTTTGCAGCCAACCTGGCTGGAGACGCAAAGGCTGCAGTGTTTTCCCATCCGAAGAAGCACGCTCTCAACACCCGCCTCTCCCTGAAGGCCTACCATCATCTTGCAGGTTGTATCTGTCAACGTCAAGTTCAGCACCCGTGGTGCTGCCAGTGGCTTCATGGACATCACCACTTCTGCCAACATCTTTTGCAAACGTTTAGACACGACATTCGAACCAAAGGGATCCAGACCTTCCCGGATGGCATTCCAGGCCCGTCGGGCTTGCAGCAATTCCTTCGGATGTCTGGCCAGGGAAGTTGCTCCAAGATGAAGTGCCAAGGAGGCGGACGGTACCGTCAACAGAGGCGTCTGTAAAATCTCGGCGCTGCTCACAAGCACTGGGATGGACAAAAACAGCTTCAGACTAGGTGGAGCCATGGTCTGTGATGGTCTGTGAAACAATAGCTTTACCAGCCAGATCTGCGGAGGACATCTATTACGAGCTGGGGGAGAGAGAGAGAGAGAGAGCGGGTTGCATTGCCAGGTAAAAAAGTGCTGGATGTATGATGTATGTGCATACCATATCATACCATCGTATCTTCAGTATGTAGGGGTCTGGGGTTTGCGGTGTGTGCTTGCTTTCTGGCACGCGTAGCTTTCATAAACTTACGCCAACCGTGCACAAATGCATGAGAGCTCCGGGGTATGATGCGTTAGATTTTAGCTCTGCCACAACTATATATATATATATGAGATACTAACAGGGACCCTCCAACATACAGTAATTTTACGTCCTAAAGCTTTAGCACGGTGATTCTTGCTGAGCAAACCTACACAGTACGGAAAAGCAGCGCTCATGCGTTCTTGGCAAGTCATGTGTACGTGCCAGCTCCAAACTCCAGCTCCACACACGTCGCAGGATCCCACCCCTGCTAGGCCACCCAACCGGTTGGGAGACCGGTTTCTTCACTTCCCTGACGCAATTCCGGATCTGAATCGAAAGACTTACTGACTTCGTGCCTTTTTGTTATCCTATATTCAGCTATATTCAACATTACTCAATCTATTTTATCATAAATCTTATAGTTTAGAGGAATTTAAGGGATGGTGGTAAAACATTGGGCGCCCGGCGGCTTTGGCTTCACAGGTGGCCTTGGAGGTGTCCAAACTTCCATGGTATACCCAGTCCTTGGGTCCTCCATTTTCAGCCATTTTCATGGGGATTTCCATTCCGGGATGACAATAAACATCCATAAACCATATACTATCCTTTGACCATGGCACAATGGCACATGAATTTATAACTGGATATAAATGGCATGTTTTATAAGTGGCATGTAATTGGCATGACTGGTCCACAACTTGTTAAGGAATCTGCTGTCCATAGTTACCATAGTTGTTGCGGATTGGTCGTGCCATGTCGTGCCGTTCCCAAAAAAGAACTCGGTCCAACTGTATACAGCCAAAATCTGCCAAAATCTGCCAAAATCTGCCACAACCTAAGTATCATACAATGAAACAGAACCACAACTGGTTGATGATTTCAACATATTTCAACACTCCCCTGAAAGGTATTCGTCATTTTGGATCATCCTCCCAAGTTGAGGAAACATGGTGGAAAAAATGAAGCTTCTCTGAGGCTCTGAGCATCTTTAAAAACATCTATCTGAAAACACTGTAATGGGAACGACCAGGTCATCTCTAAGGCTTGCACTTTGGTTTTGGCTTCGGCTGCAACTTGACCATCCGCAAATATTCTGCCCGCAACTCACGGTCCTCAGCATGCAGTCTGACCCCAGTTGGCTGGAACATTGGCGCCATGCCCTTTTTTTTCATGGCGCATTTCTCATCACAGCTTATCAGAGAATCATATAATATCATATATATATATATAATATCATATATCATAAATTTCACATAATTTCACCCCCCCAAAAAAAAAATGGTGCGTCCCGCATCCTCGAACAAGAAAACTCTGCGGGACAGCAACTCCAGTGATCCACTTGGCCAATGGCATAAGCCTTGCGTTCCACCTCGTCGCTCAAGACTTCGTAGGCAGAGGACGCCTGCAGGGAGAATATATCTGATATATCTGATAATATATCTGTTACCATATGCTACCATCTGCTAACGTTACTCTGTTTCATACATGGTAAATCATGGTAGATCGAATTCTATAAACTTAAACGTTTATATATATATATGTATGTATGTGTGTATCTGTCATATATATATATATATATGTGTGTGTATGATTGCATATGCATGCATGCATGCATGCATGCATGCATGCATGGATGGATGGATGGATGGATGGATGGATGGATGGGTGGATGTCTATGGATATGGATATGGATATGTATGTGTTATGTATTATGTATTATGTATTATGTGTTATGTGTTATGTGTTATGTGCTATGTATTCTGTATTATGTATTATGTATTATGAAAATATGAAATTATGAAATTATGAAATTATGAAATTATGAAAATATGTAACTATGATTATATGCTTATGTGTTTATATGTTTATATGTTTATATGTTTATATGTTTATATGTTTATACATGCACGCATGCATAATATCTTGAAAACCCAGTTAGTGGACTTACTACATCTTGCTACCCATGCTTATTACTCTCACTGATCCGCAATGAGTGTCCACCCCAACCCCACAGAGGTCGCGACCAGCTTAAAGGCATCTTCAGCCAGGGCGGCAAGGCCCTGCCTCATTGAAAGTGCTTCGCTTGCTATCTAATACTATCGGATGAATTATGAATCATTGATTTACAGTAGAAGGAAGTCTTAGAACTAGGAATAACTGGAACCTATATATATATGCATATGTGAATAGAAAGAGAGAGAGAAAGAGAGAGAGCCGCTTGCGAAACGCTCCAAGTCAGCTGCCATCGGGACTTTCTACAAACAGGAGCTGCTGCAGTTGAGCCAACTACTCCTCTGAGTCGATGATCTTGTCAGGATGCACCTTTGTCATGTCAAGCTTCACAGCAATCTTGGCACCTTTGTCATGCCACTGGATTCTATGGCACCAGTGGTGAATATCTCAGCCCGGTGCCCGCAATGAGATTGCTCGGTAAGCCTGACCTAAGATCAGCTGATGAGTTCAGCACACTCAAAGCATTCAAACATCTTCAAACACATGGCTGTGATTGGCTGTGTCTGAAAATATTAGGTATGCACCCATATGCACCCCCCAAAATGGCAGTTTTATTGGGCAAAATGAGAATCAACCATTGGGCCATTGGATGGAATGGGGCACCATGGGGCACCCAAACAACCCACCTTCAGAGTGCCTTGGGCTCTGGCGAATGGCCAGGGGTGAAGCACTTGGGGGCACCCCCAGGACTTCATAGAGATTCTTGGCATTCTCCAGTTGCCTGAGCTGCTTGAAGGCATGGTGCGAATGGCGTTCAACAACCACCAGCCACTCAGGTAGCATTCAGGTGATGTGAATTGCGATGTAATTCGGCGAGATGCGGCGTCTTGCTCAAGCATGTTTGAACCTCCAAATCCCTCAGCTATAGATCCCCCAGCCATAGAATCCATATGAATCCATAGATACCCCTGACCCAGGCCTGATGATGAACTCAACTGGATCCTCATCAGCCGCCTCAAGCTGCTGGATGCTGACCGGCACCAAAGTCACAGTTATCTGAGTTGATGGCGTCATCCAGCACCCATTGCCGGCTGGGAATTTCATCCATGGGAGACCTGTCCGAAATCCAAGAATTTGTTGTCTACTTCTGCAGTCACTCATGTCAACCCTGGATGAATTACTGAATCAACTCTTCTGAATTGGGGGGGTGCACCCGAATAGTGATGGTTCTCCCCAAAAAATGGTGCGGTGCCTCACCAATTATTCACAACCCACTTTGCATTGGCAGTGGATCTTTCAACAGCTGAGCTTCCAGCTTTGGGGGTGGCCCAGGTCCAGGACCTGGGAACTGCGACAGCGTTGCACAGCTGGTGGCTGGGAATGGCTGGGCATGGCTGGGCAGCTGACGACTGGCACCTTTCTCCGTGCCAACGGCTTCGGGCACCTTGCCGTTGAGGCGGAACTTCCCGACTTTGGCCTGGAAGCGGAGAGCAGGTGCCTAAATGTAGAAAGCCAGCAGGGCAGCAACGCTGGTTGGAAGGATTCTGGGGACGTCTTCGACGTCTTTGAAATATACATGGCATGAGATCTCATGATCCTTTCTCAGCTCGTAGCATGATATGCCACGGAGCAGCCACAGCGTCTACAGCAAATGTCTTCTAGCCTCAAGGTCCAACAAAAGAATGCAAGGCCCTCTGATTTGTTTGCATTCTTCCTGAACACAACGATGGAACGTGTTCAGCTGTTGCACCACCTGCTTGCAAGCTAACGCAGCAGACTTTGACATTGCATTTGTCATCATTTGTCGCACTTGACTTTCCATCCAGTGCTCATAAAGGCGCCCACTCTTGCCCAAGCAGATGCTCAGAAATCACGAAAATTTGGCCTCAGCAGCAAATTTATTCTCGGATTGCTTCAGGCAGATTGCCAAGTGCTTGGCAGATTGATTCTCAAATTGACCCTGAATTTTTTGGGCCATTTTGGTCATCAAGGCTCAGACAAGAACATCTTTGGCACTTGCCTTGGTGGTAGACATGTCCGCAGATGTTCGTTGGCGCACACTGGTGGGATCTGGCGGGCAGGTTTGGGCACTGTTCCTGCCTCGTTTGTTGCAAAGCGGATCGTAGCAACTTTCCTCAACCAGGAAGTGGCACATGGTGACACAATTCAATACGGATTGATTCATAACTGTGGTGAGAAAAAGTGCAGTATAAAAAAAAAAAAAAGTTAAATCAGATGCATGCCACTGCCAGGATCTGCCAAGATGACTGCAAACTGACTTCAAAAGTCTGCTATGATCGATGCCTCTTCCTCACGGTCTGTCACTGGGGCTGCTGTTGAGACGGGTATCCACCTGGCAGCGGATGAAAGGAATCAGGCTCTGAAAACATCAAGGGCACAAATGGTGCCAATGACTCATTGGGGATCAGAAGGTGTAATTTGAATGTGTGGCCTACATCCTTTAAATCTACTTGCAAAATTACATACTCTGTGTGTGTGTACAGTAATGGAGTGACATGCGCATGCACCTGAGATAAATATGGAGACATCTGAATGACATTTGCACATAGATCTGGATGATGCACGTGCCACAAACGTGCAGCAGGAGCCGTCCAAGCAGTGTCGTCAACACCTCCTCGTCACCGCCCTCAGCAGACCATAACTTGGGTGGCAAAATCCTTCTGAGACAAACCCATCTGAGGCGCAGGACCTTCTTCGCGATGATATCTCTACCTTGGAATGCTGCCAAAGTGCACTAGGCTTTGGCAGGCGCCGCAATGCGTCGCAACCAAAGCTTCAAAGCAAAACGACAGCCAGATCTGCCAGATCTGCCAGGGTGCCCCAGTCGGGATTTTGAATGTTTTTGAAGTTGGATATGACGGCATCCTCCTGAACGACAGCGAATAGATCTCATAGCTGGGAGCATTTTTTGGAACTAAAATCAGAACATTACTAGCCTCCAATCTGGCAAATCTCTTCCGACTTTGCTTGATAGCTATCTTGCTGGCAAAGATCGGATCGGCAGGTGAACTCAGAAAGAGTTCCGTGACAGCAAACACCTAACAATACCCAGCGCCTGCTCATCATAGAACAGGCGGATGTGACCTACAATGTCACCACCTGCCATGCCAAGAATGCAGAGAATAGGAGGAAAGTGATAGAACATCAACTGGAACATTATAGAATTATAGAACATATGGGTTTGTCTTCAGGGCAACCCCAAAATTAGGATCTAAAAATAGGTTCCCCTTTGACAGTTTTTGGATGTTTTTGGGCCCGCGGTTTTGGACAAACATGGACAAACCCATGGTGAGTTTCAGCAACTCCAGGAGTTTCCCAGGGATAAAATTTCGGCCAAAACGCCTGTTGTGCTGCCGAGGAACGGGCGGAGGCCAATTCTGCTTGAAGCCAATGTTCCTCTGGCTCTAAGGTTCCCATCCTTTGCTTTCAAAAAAGCCAAGCAGATCTAAGCAGTGGATCGAGTTGATTGGATCTGCCTCCAAAAATCATTATATATATATATAATTAAAAAAACATGCGCCATTTGTCATCTGAGCTTTGAACACAGTGCCTCCTGTAGCATGTGGCCCTGGCAAATGAAGTTGAATCAAGGGTTACTAAATGTCCTCTCTCTCTCTTGGAATCTAGATGTCACTGATATGATATCACCTTTGATATAAAATATATATGTTTGAATGATTTTAAATTACCATGTCCAGCCTATCCAAATCAAAGAACCATCGGTCCGTCTGCCGATGCGATACTCAGAAGGCTTGGCCTCGGCTGCAATAAACATTCCCCTAACGGTTTTTACTAGTAAACAAAAACATGTTTTGGTATCTATTAGATCTAAACATGAACTGGAGTCGATTCTAAAAACTTATCTTTTTAGTTTTGTAGGTACTAATCTGGCATAGTGCTCAACCATTTACCCTTTCATGTTGATGTGGCCTCTAACTCTAACATCACCATTTTGGTTGGTCAACCCCATGTATTGCCAGGATGGGAATCTACGACATCCAGGGCCCTGGCACCATAGAGCCATCGACCCACCAAACGCTGGTCCTGGGGAAGTCGATTTGAGATGTTTAGAGGTCAAGTTCTATCATCCAGATTGATGTAAGGGTTTCCTAAAATGGGGGTAGCCCAAGTCACCATGGGTTTCAATCACCCAAGTGTTCCGGCACTACTGGGTTGTTCGGCAACTCCTTCCAACACCACACAAGAAGAGCAATAGGCGTGGAGCATTTGAAAAACCTCTCCTGCCAAGATCGAGAAGTTGGATCCTCTTTGCCGCGGTAGCAAGGATTTCCTCCAGGAAGAGGCGCCTCGATTGACCAGGAATCACCTACTGATGGTCCAATGGTGAGGGTAGCAACTACCCCAACCACCGAACCTCAGTCCAAGAAAAGTACCAGTAGCATTCGGTCGGCCCCAAAAACTATCTATGTAGCCCCATAGCCCATAGCCCATCTGTCGCCATCTGTTGGCCACAGGAAGTTTCTGGTTTTTGAGTGTGCCACGAAAATCCGGGCAACGATCCGAATCCGCAGCCTGGCAGCGGAGGACCCAACTCACTAGGTGCAGCTGATTTTTTGCTGTTTGACACGGGCCTATGGATGTCTCTGCCATATTTTAACCGTCCAACAATTTAGGTGTGTTCACCAAAGATGTGCAAAAACAACTGACAGTTTCTTGTTCTAATCTTCCCCATTCAAGCGGCCATAAAATGTGTACCCCATCTTCAGACACACACACACACATGCTCAGAACAGTCATTGCGAATTCTGATGTGGAATGTATCTTACGTGCAAAAACACTCCAATAAAACCTGACAGGAATTGGTTGATGACCAGAGGCGAGAAAATTCGAAATGGTTCTCACCGAACAGATTGCGAAAACCGTACAGGCAGTGAAGTGACATCGAATGGAAAACTGAGAGTTTGGGTTTTGTTTGACACCCAGGGTGATCAGCCCCGGCTTCCACCATCATGCATAGCTTCGTTGGCATGCGTTTGCATGATGGCCGCATGCTCCCTGCAGTGTGTTACTTGGTGCAGACAAAACAGGAAATATTTCCCGAAAAAGATGTTTTACATCTGTTCAGATGGTTCACACACACACACATTCTTCCAAAGCACCGCCGGCAACACGGCACTGCGGGTGGCAAAGATCGCAGGTGCGCTGTGCATCTTCGGGCCGCACTCACCCGGCCACCGCGTGCAGTCTCCCCTAGGTCCTGCCATTGTAGGCCTCGCAGAGGGAAGGCGGTGACAGAGTGCATCTTGAGACAAGTGGAAAAATTGGATACACCTCAGATTGGTCCATTTTTCCTCAATAATTTTCAGACCATGTTGTGTTTATTATATTTTATTATAGAAAACTCTGAGGCAACAACTGTACTCCACATGCGCTGCAGACTGGAGCGGGAGTGGCTCCCACCTTGGCACAGGTCAGGGATTGTATCATCAGGATGAGCAGGTTGACCGACGAAATCCACTACTGCCTGGTCACTGGAAGTTGGTTTGATGTTTCTGCAGAAGTAGCGACAACTTGGGCATTTAGGCCTTCAGAATGGGGTGAAATCCAGGGGGTGTGCCCAATCATCGTCGCTTTCCTTGCAATCAATTGGGTGAAAACCAACAATTTTCAGACAAACCCAATCATAGCGTTGGTTACAAATACCCACTATATCCCAAAAAATAACTAATATCTCCATAAAATGGTTGGTTTTGTACCCATATCCAATATCTTCATGGCATCAGTCCTGCGATGTCCTGCGGCCTAGCGACTTCACTTGGATGGCTTCTGCAAAGATCTGCGGCAGAAGCGGTTGGAGCGCCTAGGCGGGCCATCCCCAAGGGATGCCAAATCATGAATAGATCCAAGACATTCCAATACCAAACCAGGGTTTCAAGATATTTTAAGGGAGATATCTCAAATATCTATAGATATCTCAGATTAGAAAAAGATATGAAAAAGATATAAGTGGTCAGGTTACTTGGTCAAACATGGCCAAACTATATATATATATATACGTATATATCATAACTATCTTTTTACCAGGTGGACTGGCTCCCCTAAAGTAGTCTGGGATGCCCTAGGTGCACGGGCACTCCGCAACTCAAGGAAGTCCTGTGGATTGTGGGCATCAGCTCCAGAGAAATTCGGTGGATGACTTGAGGCAGCTCTACTCCAAGGTTTTGATGGCATTTCAATCATCTTCTCTCTGGTTGCGTGTCCGTCTGAACTTGGTCAGCATTGCTAGCATGCGACTAGGTCTGACTAAGGTGCATGATGGTTCACACTTCCCACCCCTGAACCATCCTTGGCCTCGGAGACATCCGTCGTAGTCTTTGCTTCTGCTGCCCTGGGGAACAGCAATTTCCAGGTCCGCCAAATCTTCAGCTGAGCTGCATGAGCTGCAGCCGAGCTGCGAGGTAATCGGCAGGAAACCTCCACCAGCCACTTCCAGCCATGACTCTGCCCCTGGGTAGCCCTTAACGATGGAGCCTTCGGCCTCGGCTTCATGGTGATCTGCCAAGGTGTCCCACAGTAGTAAGTTGTAAGTGGATGTAAGTGGTACTTGTGGATCTATGAGATTAATGAAAAGTCCTTCAACCCGAGGAAGGACTGCTCATATCACCACAGTAATTCACACAGTCATAGAATTTCCTATGCACACACGAATTATGTAGAGGCAATGGGGAAAAAACATGTTTTTTTGGCAAACCAAGGACTCCTTTGTTTCTTTGGATCAAGTAATTGCATCATATTGCATCAACCACCAAAGGTGATTTTCCAGCGGGTCCATCAACATCCATCAACCACAGTCAGCACAGGAAGCCGTGCGATCAACCGTCCAGTCGCTTCGGAATCTGGCCTTGACTCTCCAAGAATGGTCCAAGGTCTATGTTGAGAACAGAAAAGCACACCACCACGCCACATTGGGGAAAACGATGCCGTTCTGTCTTGAGCACTGTATGCTAAAGATCCTCAAGAACATGCAAAATTACAAACAATCAAAAAGCGATGCACTTAATTAAAAAAAACACAAGTGCACTTAATAATCATACGAAGGTCCTAATGGTCCTATATACCCTCTGGTAATTTAACGTAGCTATTGAAAATGGCCATTAATAGTGGATTTTCCCATTAAAAATGGTGATTTTCAATAGCTACGTTAAATTACCAGAGGGTAATTATAATATCAAGCCAAAGTCTCCATTCCGACAAGGAAGGCACATCAAGGCACCATCAACAATGGTCGATATGAGGCAATGGCTTGTCTCGAAGCCGCAGGTCTCTCAAAGCCAGAAACCTGATGGATGAAATTGAGTCTTTGAATAATATTAGGAGAGAATATGTAAGAATTATATGTGCATACAGTGTGTGTGTGTGCACATATCTCTCCCTTATATTATTCTACTATAGTTTATCATGTTACTGTTGTTTTCGAATTTGTATTATATACATATACAGTAGTCGTGTTCTATCTAGTCGTGTCTGGTTGTGCGAAATGACCAAATTCATCCCACAAACCTTGGCACTGGTGGTAGCTCTATCTACTGCCATTCATTTGAACTTGCTTTGGCGAACTTGACAAAATACTGCGCCGTGAAGTATCCGAAAAAGTACATGGGCGTGTCTCAGAACACGTGGAACCCCAAAAACCAATGGCTTGCATATCAATTTTCTGGTAACCACATGTGTCAGAACTATCACCTGTACCCACCCTTATGATACAAACCCCATGATTCAGACAGCGAATGGCAAGCAACTCAAGCGGCATAGCCAGGGAGTCCTTGCTGCTCCCATGGCAACCCCGCCTGGGCAGCGCGCTAGCGCGCTGCAGGTCGTAGCCCAGAAAACCCATCGGAAAATTCATATGGAAAGTCATGGAAAGTCAAAATCCTCTAGCGGAGGTTCCTCATCACTTTGAGGCCATCATTTCCTGGTTTCAGCTTCTCAAAGCACCAGCAAGGCCATAGCAAGGCCACTAAGATCACTAAGGGCCCATCGACTCCAGCAACAGGCCAAGCCTTGGCCGTCAACATCACCAGAATCGTTCACCGGATTGCATGATGTTGCGACATTGTTGTGACATTGTTCAACTAATGCATGGTTCATCCTGCAGTTATGGGCACGTATACTATATATATATACACATATATAATTAGATGCTGCAAGATCATTCAATTTTATATAATTTTATCGCATAGAACAGCCTGGCTCATGAATCCAAATGAGTCTGGGGCTCATTCTCTTGATGCACTGTGGCAGATCATCATGAGATTCATGTTGTTCATAAATGCTCATAAACAGCGTCGCCTTTTTTTTGGTTGCCATCGCATCCAGCACACTACATCACTACATCGACCGGGTTCATGGCCCACGGCTCCGCCCATCAATCAGCATAAATGCGCCAGCTGCTGTCTCCGGCACCTCAGCGGCTCAGCAGCTGCTCTTCCTCTTTTTGATCTTGATTCTTGAGGGTGAGAAGTTCAACTATAGGCTTTATATCAACATATTGTAAACACATGTAAACATGTATAAACATTATATCATTGTATGATATTGTATGATACTTCGTCAAGGAAATCAATGTTAACGAGTGTGAACTAGTGTCAAAGGTCCCTTCGTTGCCTCCCATCTTCCTGACCTAAGGCAACGACATTGGCCGTTGACCTTGTCTCGTGGTCCAAGCACAGCCAGCCGTTGGAAACCCTTCCAGAAACCATGCAACCTGGCGTGCGGTGCGCGCGGTGCGGTCCTGGCCCTTCTGTATGTTGCATCCTGTGCTGCTGAAACAGCTCGCGTTGCATGCTTTGAGCTGGGCCTCTTCGAACCTGCATCCGGTGATGAACACGAAGACTATTTCTCGTGAAAACAGGATGGATACTTCTACATGTATATTATATATATATATGTGTGTGTATGATATGCGTGTGCATGTGTCTGAAATATCAATATTAATTAATCTTCCATATTCATCATATGCCATTTGCATCATCCCCCTTATTCACATGGGCGGCAACGGAATCATTTCATGAATTATATGTTAAAAGGTTTGTGGGATATTCATATCCATCGTCTTCCTTTTTTATATCCCATATAAGCACAGTAAATCATATCTCAATGGATTGGTTTAAGGGAAAATCTACAGGAAACCATAGGTATGCTGCCATTAAATATGGGGCTTTCCGGTTAAAATTTTCCCTTCAACCATCTTCAACCAATCCATTGAATACCCCTTAATTTAACATAGCTATAGAAAATCACCATTTTTAATAGGTAAACCATCTATAAATGGGCCATTTTCCATAGCTATGTTAGTTTACCAGAGGGTATCTCATATGCATCATACTGCTGTAGTCACTTCGAACTCCCCGCCTGGGCCACCTTGGCAGCATCTAGGCCAGGGGTTTCCCGAACGAAGACCACTGGCTTCATGACCTGCGGAGCCAAAGGGATCCTGGGCCAATGAGATAAGGATTAACCATACTAGTTACAGATACCTTAGTTAGTATTGGAATAGTAAAAAATAACACATTAATATGTAAAAATGATATATAATGATACATTGATGTATTAATATATATAATTTTGTATTTATACAGAGTAATATATTATATGTTCACCCGATCATACTTATTTAACTGTTGAATCAGATGTGGCAATTCTAAGAATAATAACAAAAGAGAAGAGGACGAAGACGAAGAATTGAAGATAAGAACAGGGATTTCACCCCCAAATGATAGGGACACTATTGGGGATTTAACCAACAAGATACTGTCATCAAACTACACGGACCATGGATGACAAGGTGGGCGGTTATACCAACCATATGGTCACTTTGGTCCTACCATGTTCTACCACATTAGTTTTAATGCACCACGTGTAATGATCCGAATATCGCCAAATGTGTACCCTCTGGTAATTTAACATAGCTATTGAAAATCACCATTGATAGTGGATTTTTCCATTAAAAATGATGATTTTCAATAGCTATTTTGACATAACCAGAGGGTACCTTTATTGTCCGAGGGAAGTCTGTGGTTTTAGCTGGTCCATGGCACGGTTTCTGCCAGGATTCAACGCAGATAACGCAGCCTCGTAGCGCTCATGCTGCCAGGGAGATTCGCAGGCCACAGCTGAGAGCTTCTCCTCCAAAGCTGTGGCCCTATTTCGGGACGCAGGTGCACCTCGCAAAATATACATTTATTGTCATATTTATTATCATTTATTATCATTTATTTATAGTATGCCTTTTTAACACCAGGATATATGAACTGCACCAGTTTTTATATCATTTGAATGGTCCCATTTCCTGTTGCTAGCTGCTTACCATTGCTTCCGCCATCCTGAAGTATTCTTCATCAACGGCCAGGCCCCACCTTCGAAGTTTTTGCTGATGCACTGGAAGCTGGCGCCTTTCCGGAGTTTCTAGGCCAGGAAAGGCCCGGATTGATGGGTTGATATTAGGGCTGAAACTGATTCGACTGATGATACCGTGTCCGAAAACAAAATATTGATATATAAACATGGATAATGATATCGGCAGTTTCCCTGCCTGCGGCGCTACTTTCTTGGCATTGCCAGTCCTGAACGAATCCATGAAGGAATCGATTGATGCATTGCACCAAATTGTCACGGTTCCTGCAAACCAAGACGCCTGGAACTTTCTTGCGGCATCTTACCTGAGTTGCATCATTCGTAATTCATGAGGCAATCAGCACAAAAGCTGTCCATCTTGACCTCTTAACATGTCCCAGGAATTTGCAGTGCACCCAGTTGAGTCTTCAGCCCTGGCTCTTTGATGTGCTCTGCGGAGGATCCTGAGTTCGACAGGTCCAGAAAACATCCACTGCGGCAGATCTGCCCTGAGTCGTCCGCCACTCTTTTGGCGGCACTTGCACTGGGCTTGGCAAAGGCTTTGGCCCTTGGCACAAGAGGCGGGTCCCCAACGCTGTCGCAAAGGCGAAGCGTGCTGGTTGGTGGTTCCCGCCCCAAACCCACAAAAAATGGGTCAAGAATGGTCAAGAGGGATCATCCTCCGAGGGATACTCTTGAAACATGTTGAATTCACCAACCAGGTTCTGATCATCGTTTGCTATTCGATGCTATGCGTCCTCCCAAAATCTCTAAGGCGCCGTCGTAGCATCTGTCCCTGTGGACCTGGGAGCAGCCTGAGCTGCAGATGCTGCAGTACCCACGGCTCGTCGGACCTCAGCTTGAGGCACGTCTCTGGAGCCTGCTATTTTTTGGAGAAATGGAAGCTATATGAAGCTATATGAAGCTAGCAGCTATACTCAATGACCAGACTCTGACCCAGGTAGCACCATCGCTCCAGCAAATCCTCGACCGCCAACTTTGAAAGTCTTATTTTCATGAAAAAGCAGCACAAATGACCCTGTCCTGCTATCCTGGAGTTTGCCCTTAAAATAATGGCCTGGCAGCACAGCATGGGAATGGCCGAAGCTGTTCAGTTTGGAGAACCTGATCGTAGCCGTCCTGGCCTGCTCCGGGGCAAAAAGCGATGGAGTCGGCTTCTGGGAATGAGACCTGGCCGTCAACAACACCTTCACTGCTCGTGATGCTGCGACCACCACCGGAGCTGAGTTTCTTTGTTCAAGACTGCCTTCGCTGGTGATGTGCCAACCTGCCTCTATCTGAATGCCGTCAGCACCACGCATTTCTCCCTTCTTGATGGTGACCTCAAGATTCAAGAATTGCCCTCAACAATTTTTGCCTTGATTGGAATTTATGTGAAACGAGCACAGAAGCTCCGCTGGTTCAACACTGGATGGATCCGCGACCGAGTCCGCGGCCACAGTCCCATCATCATCTTCCCACTCTCCATCGAAGGAGCAGGCTGCGGAGCTTGGCTGAACCTCGGACCAGCTGTAGGCCATCCCATCAGAAGTCATGCTTAGTTTTGTACAACTAAAATGCTGATAAAATTTTAGGAATGTTAAGATGTGTTAAGTTACTATAGAAACGACCTCATTAAAACCCATTCAATGTGTAAAAATGGATTGTCATGTGACTTAAGAGAGAATAGTAAACCACATTTAACAGCCATAAGCAACCCATTCCTAGCTTGGTTTTCTGGGCCACCAGCCGTCCTCTCAGAGGCCTTCTCTGCTGCCTGCAGCTTCTCCTGCAGGATTCTGGTATGTGTGCACACGCGAATGCACGTATGACTATGTATGTTGATTTGCCTCTTTATTTATCTACATATCTATCCATTTATCTTTGATTATATATGTTTTATGTCTAGACCTTGTCTTGATGTGTGCGCTACAACTAGGTATATATAATGTATGTACTCTTTTATCTATATGAATGCAGAATAGAGAAGACACGGAAACATACAGAACAGGTGCTGGCCCTGTCTCACTGTGGCCCTCCAAACCTCAATCTCATCAAAGTCGAACATGGCGACAAGCTGCCCATCTGCTTCGGCGGTCAAATGTGTGGCATGTCCTACGAATTTGACTGGGTTGGTTGAAGGATGTTGAAGGGGACATCTTAATGGGAAACCATAGTTTTGCCCCGCCATCATGCGCAGAATTCATTCATGGGTGTCTCCTGCAAAAGTTGCCTTCAATTGCCTTCGTCCACTGGGATCAAATCCGAAAACTGCAACGCATGATGTGAAGACTGACAAATGCGCACATCTTCGGTTGGGGATATTCAAGCAGTTGAAGATTGGGAGAACATGTTTCAACCATCCAACTGACTACTAAACAAGGGACATCAAGGGAAAATACAATATGCCCCTAAAAAAATGGAAAAATGGGGGTTTCAGGGCGTATATGTTTGTATGTTGCTTGTTATGATTTTGTGTTGGGGTTCAATGTTTCATCTTCGCCTTTGATGTTTTTTCAGGTGGGGTTTTGGGGGTAATTTTGTTGCTAAAGTGATGTGTCAATGTTTGGATTGAAGGGGGGTAGGATTTGTTTAGGCTGTTGGGGTTTTTGTTTGTGTTTGGGTGGTTGATTACTTCATAATATGTGTTGTTAAGATATTATGAATTAATCATTTATGCTTTCCACTTTCCTATTCCATCCCACCAGTGTTCAATCACTCTCATTTGTGTTAAGCAAGGTTTGTTTGTATCATTTAGTTCATCCATTGCTATTGATAAAAGCGTTAGGTTGATAATCATAGCGTTGAATTCTCCATCTCGGTTGAGTTCCTTTCCACAATCAATGATGACTTTTTTATCAGTGAGGTTTTCATACATCTTTTTCATTATATCAAATCTTACGAATGAATATATTATCATTCCATTTACTCCTTCTGCTTCTTTCATCCTATCAATTACTTTCTTCCAAAACTTTTCTCCTTCCTCATCATCTGGTGAAGGCATAGGATGGCACTTTACAAAGTCTCTAATCTCTTCATCTTCTTTTTCTATTTGTTTTCTTTCCCAATCATCGTCCTCACTATCACTACCAAAGTCAGCATATATACCAATATTCCCTGTATCTATAACCTCAATTTTTGCTCTACTCATTTTCTCTTACTATATATAGATATTTTTTCTTTAAGTATTTATCACTTTTTGTAGGTGCTCTTTTATTTCTTCTATGTTCAAATATTTCTCATAACCGTTGAACAGTTCTTCAACATATTCACGCAAGAAAATTTCCAAAATGTCTTTTATCTTGAACTCCCTGTTTCTAAACATAAAAGTTCGTTCAACATTAGGAAACCACCAGCATCTTCGTTGCTTACTGTAATTGATGAAATTAAGGTCGTGAAAGTTCTTTAGAATATGATAAGTGTATTTCCAATGGTTTTTGACATAAGACTTAATCGCTTGAAGATATATCTTATCCTTTTGAAATTCTACCTTCAGTTTATAGGTGTCCAATAAAGCATCTATTTCTCTCTTCATTACTCTTAAATTTGTTCGGTCGGTGTTGGATAAATAGATAGGTGATTTTTCCATCCTTGTTTTAAAGAAATGTATTTGTTTTTCAACTCTTGTTAGTTCTTTCTCTTCAAAATGGTCGAAATGATAGTTGAATGTTATATATCTGCGTTCCTTATCATTCAACTCTTTACATTTTGAACAGTGAAGGTTGTAATCACATATCTCATCACAAATTCCAGCAGGAAAAATGTTGTTCAATAAAACCTTAATGTCAGTCATTTCTTTTTTACAACATCCACAGTTTTTATAAGTAAATAGCATCCTCTTACTGTATATAGTCATTTTTTCTTTAAGTAGTTTTTGGGGGCTCGTTCAGTTTTCGGGTTCGGGTTGGTTTTTATTTTCCCTTTCCTCCTCTTCCAGTTCTCTTATGACCATATCTATTTCACTCATTCCTTCGTTGGGGTCTTGTCCATTGGCGAGGTTTCTTAACCTCTCAAAATCCTTCACTTTGTGTCTTTCATTGGGTGGGAGGGTTTTGAGATGTTCCTTCAACTCTGTCAGGTCAAAGTATGTGTCTTCCTCTTCATCCTCATTTTCCAAAAACATTTCCATTCGTTGCTTTTCCATCTCCATAAGTTTGTTTTCCATATATTGGAATTTCATTTGCTTCTTGTAGCACTTGCCACAAACATTCACGAAGGTTTGGAGCAAGTAGTTCCAATTAGGTTGGTTTCTATCGTTCAGGGTTATAACATCTGTCATTATACGACATCCACAGTCAAATTTAGTCATCTTATTTAGTCTTACTATATATAGGTATTTTTTCTTTAAGTATATTTTTTATTGTTGATAATTTTAAAAATCTAATATTATAATATATGGCAAGGAGACTATCAAGAGATGACATCATAAGCAATGTCTATTATAATCTTGAAACGGGCTTCGGTTCAATCAATGAGACCCTTAAGAAAGCCAAGGAGCAAGACCAGACCATCAACAGGGTGGATGTGGAAAACTTTATGAGGAAACAGCCCAACAAACAGATTAGAAAATACAGGGGGTCAAACTCCTACACCGCACCCTTCGCAAGGTTTGAATATCAGATTGACATAATGGATATGAAACCCCTTACCAAAGAACCAGAGACGAAAATTCCCATCAAGAACGACGAACCGAGATATGGGTTGGTGGTCATTGACATCTTCAGCAAGTTGGCAAACGTCGTCCCTATGAAAGAAAAATCCGGACCAATCACATTGTCGGCGATGAAAGAGAGTTTCAACAAAATGGGTTTTCCAATGTCCGTTTATAGTGATAATGACCGTGCCTTCCAAGCAGGGGTAAAAGAGTTCTTTGAGAAAGAAGGCATCACTCACGTTGTCACCCTAACTCACGCCAATGTTGTGGAGCGTTTCATAAGGACAATGAAGAATATGATACACGACAGGGTGAGGTTTAATCGCGGTAGTTGGACTGTAATGTTGTCCAAAGCGTTAGATAAATACAATGATACAGTCCATTCATCCACAAAAATGAAACCCAAGGATGCCCACGACGACAAGAACCATATGGACGTCAGGGTGAATTTGACAAGGAGGGAAAAGAACACTCGCAAATATCCAGAGGTCAAAGTGAATGATATGGTCAAGGTCTTTGAGAAGAAAAAAGACAACTACACCGAGAGGAAGGAGTATAACTCAAAGTGGAGCAATCAATCCTACAAAATCGTCAAGATAGAATACGATGACGTCGGAAACAGAACCTTCAAACTGGAAGGATTGAACAAACCTTATTTGAGGCACGAGATTTTGAAAGTATAAAAAATTATCTATAATATTAATATATGACAGAGGTAGTCGTAAAAGAGATTGATAATGAAGAACCAAAGGAAGAAACAATACCAGAACCAATACAGGAAGAAGCACGGCAAAGCCCTGCTTCCTATCGGGAAGCACCGAAGGAAGAGGAGAAACCAGAAGAAACAATTGAACCACCCGTTCAAGAGAAACCACAACCAGCGCCAAAGCCCAAAAGGGTAAGACCGTCAAGGGCGAAACCACCTTTTGACCCAGAAGCATTCAAAAACGACCTTGTAAAACAAATAAAGGAAGAACTACAAAGTGCGATGTCCGCCAGAGACACCTACAACAAAGCCAAAGAGGAAAAGAACAAAGCGACGAGAGAGAAATTGAAATCTTTAGCATCAAAAATTTTGTAAAGTATTATATATAAAAATGAACATCAAGGAACAGAAAATGGAACTCAACAAAACAGACATCTACGAAAACGTCCGCAAGGACATCAACAGAAAACAAACCGTCCATTCAAACAAAAGTGCCAACTACAGGAGCGGAACGCCCGAAATGCCAGACAGAAGAAAAAAGTGTATAGTAGTTATGACCACTACTACCACAACGACAGCAACACGGCAAGGATGCCAACTCACAACCATCATCTTTACCTGAAGCGTCTTCTTGAATATCACAACACCGAGCACGACTACAAGGTCTTACAAGTAAAGCAGAGGATGAAGGAAGAGAATGAGATGCTACAGAACGAAATGACAAGGTTGAGGGAGGTGAGGAAAAATCACAGATTGGAAGATTACGGGGCGAACGTCCAGAATATGAAACAGAGAATTGATGAGTATAAGCAGTGGTTGAGAGGCGATACACAAGATTAATATAAAAATCTAAAGTATTAATATATAGCAATGACAGCAGAAGTAATCAACGCAAAACAGGGATTGACACGAATACCCACTTACGCAGAACTCATCAAGGAAATAGACAGGGAAAAGTTCAAAACCAATGACATCAGAAAAATCTTTGATAGGAACGCTTGGTATTTTCACGAAAGTCCGCAGGGTCAAGCACTGAACACAAACAACATCCACCCAGCAGACTTACAGCAAATGAACTTCAAAAAGATGGCAGAGGAAGCGACCGCAAGGAAGGAAGAAGAAACACCCAACCTTGACTTTGAAGATATGACCGACTTGAGGGACGACGCCATCAGCGACTTTGAGATGTCCTTTGACAGAGAGGCAGAGTTGAGGGAAGAGAACGAAAGGAGAGTAGCAGAACAGGCAAATTTAAGTCATTCACAAGACCACTATATGGCAAACAAAGGAACATACGACGCCGTTGGAGCAACAGCATCGGCAGGGATACAAGAAGACGAAGAACCGCCTTCAAGCAGTAGAAGCATCTTAAAGAACTTCCTTAAATCATCCAAACCAGTCATCAAAGCAGTCGCCACAGCAGGAGGAACAGCAAAGGGAGGGTCAATAGGAGGACTAATAGCATCAAAACTGACAGACACCATCATACCCGACGAAGACGAGGAAGAGAAACCGTCCAAGATAAAACCAACACAAAAACTAATCAACAAACAAGTCAAAAAGGTAAATCACCAAAAGAAGTTAAAGGAGGAAAAATCAAAGATGAATGTAGATGTAGTGCCCGACACCGCAGAAGCAATGGACACAACAGCAATACCAACAGCAGAAAAGAGGAAACCCTTAAGCGTGAGACAGTCCAAAGCAAAGA